GTCTCCGGCTCGGCGCGTCCCTACTGCTGGCTCCGGCAGCAAATGGCGATGGCCGCGGCCACGCCGCTGCCCGGGACGCCGGCCGCCACGCAGGTATCGTCCACGGCGTAGGCTCCCATGGTGCCGGGGCCCTGGGAACGGGCGTTACAGCCCGTCAGCGTCCAGCCGTCGTCGCAGGACACCGTCACCTAACGGGGGGAGAAGAGGTCACCCTCCGCGGGGCAGCAAAGGGGCAGGGGGCTGCCCATCCCCGCCGGTCCCCAGGGCTTGGGACGATGTGACCGATGTCACGCTGAGCCGCCGGACCCCAGCTCGGGGCGGGGAGGGGGCATCCCGTTACAGGTGGGCAACTGGGGACGCCAGCGAAGGCTGGGGTTGGGACGATGAGATGCCGAAGCCAACCCGACCCCCCCATCAGGGTAGCAGAGGGACACGCAGAGGTGAGGACAACCCCACGGCGGCGGAGCGCGCGCGCCGGCCCTACCTTCTCCGCAGAGCCCGGGGACGCGTGCTCCTTCACCCGGCACTCGAGGCCGGCGGCGGGGCAGCACGAGGCGTGCGCCATCACCTCCGTCCCGCCGGCGCAGCGGCCGGGCCAGCTCCCCGGCCCCGCCACGGGTCTGCCGCCGTCCCCCAGCGCCGCAGCGGGGGAGTGGAAACTGCAGCCTGCCGAGGGGGGAGAGGGGCTGTCCGCACGGGGTGGCCGCAGCAGCATCCCGGGGCACACGCGGGCGCTGAGGGACGCCGCCGCTCGGCCTTCCCTGCCTCCACGCACGCAGCACGTCTCCCCCTTCCCCGGCGCGCGCGCCCACCCTTTTACCCCCTGGGTCTCGGAGTTTTTTCTGGAAGAAACCCCCTCGGCCCATCAGCGCGTTGGCTCGAGGGTCTGTAACCCGCCGCCTCGGGCGTTACCGGTCAGCACGTGGTCCTGCGGGGAGCAGCCGGCCCCCTCGGCCGTCGGGGAGCTGGCGTTGATCCGGCACTCGGCCCTGGGCCACGTGCAGCACCTGGCGATGGCGTAGACGCCCCGGCCGCGGAAAGCGTTGTGGGCAACGCACTGCTTCTGCCCGTCCTTGTCCTGCGGCCGGGGCGGCACGGTGTCACCGGGGGTGCTCGAGGGCCTGGGGACGCCCCTGCGAGGCCGGCGGGCACCCCGGGGGCGGGAGGACCTCCATCTCCGCGCGCTCCGCTCACCTCCATGTGCTCCCCCAGCCGCCTGCCGCTGCGGGAGAAGCTGGAGCAGCTGAGCATCTCCTCGGCACCGGCGCAGCGAGCCACGGCCGTGGCGTGCCGGGTGAGTCCCGAGCGCGCCGACCACACCGAGCGGCAGTACAGCCGCTCATCTGCAACGGGGCGGATGGCGTCGGCGGTGGGGTGGGCACCCACGGCAGCACCCAGAGCCCACGGCACGGAGAGGGCCGCCGCCGAGGGCTGGCGGGTCTCCCCCCCGCTACCCTCTGCGTGCAAACAGCCGCGCTTGGGCTCAGCCGTCCCCGGCGCAGCTCGGGGAGGAACGTGCCTTGCCGACGCGCTGTGCTTTCCACCCAGGGAACTTCTTTTCCCAGTAAGGGCAGAGCTCTGCTGGGCACCCAGCAGGCAGCCGAGGTCTTTACCTGCGCCCAGCCGGGCGGGCAGCCCGGCCACGCTGTTGGGCGTCTGCAGCCGCTGCTCCTCGGGGAACCAGACCATGTCCATGACATTCTTGGTGGCGAAGCGCAGGAGGTGCTGCCGGAGCTCGGCGAGGCTCAGCTGGGGCTCGGCGCTGAGCAGCATGGCGGCGATGCCTGCCAAGAGACCGGGGGACCGCGGTGAGAACCGGGGGCCGCGCGTGACTCCCGTCAGCAATGTGAGTCCGGAGAGACGCGAGGGGAATCGCTGCAGCCCATCACGCGCACGCACGGGATGCGGGAGCTCCGTGCAGGCTGCAGCACCCAAATGAGCCAAACATGCCAAAACCGTGGCACCGTGGCACGCGAAAACGTCCCCAGCACCAGCAAGCGGAGGGCCAGCCCTGCCTGCCGCCCCGGACCCCAGCTCGCCTGCCACGTGGGCGGCCGCCTGCGACGTCCCGCTCTGCGCCGTGAAGCACGTGCTGCAGTCGCTGGAGGCGCCGATGATGTCGTCCCCCGGGGCGAACAGATCCACGCAGCGGCCAAAGTTGGTGCCCAGGGTGCCGATGGAGGCGGGCTGGTCCTCGCTGTTGGTGGCGCCGACCGTGATGACCTGCCAGGGCGGTGACGGAGGGGGACGTGGGCGGGATGGGATGCGCAGCCCCAGCCCACTCGGCTGACTTGGCGCTGGAGCGGATGAGCCTGGGGAGGTGGCAGAATGTCCCCGCATGTCCCCATGCCTCAGGGAAACCACCCCCCCCCAGCCCGTACCTCCGGCTCGGATGCTGGCGAGTACAGGCAGGCATCGTCCTTGTAGTTACCGGCAGCCGCGACCATCACCGCCCCCATCCGCGCCATCCGCCGACAGCCGGCGTTGAGCACACGGCTGTAGGCGCCGGCGAAGGGCAGCAGGACCACCGGCGGCGCGCGGGGCTGAGCCTCCAGCGTCGCCTTGATAAACTCCAGACCTGGGAGGGACGAGATGAGGGACAAGAAACTATGGCAGGAGGAGGACGAGGCGGGGCGGGGGGCTCCGGGAGGGAACGTGCTCCTCTGCGGGCCGTGGGGTGACTCACCGATGAGGGTCCCGCTGACGGTGCCCTTCCCCTGGCAGTTCAGCACGCGGAGGCTGCGGATGTTGGCGCCCGTGGCCACGCCAGCGTCGCGTCCGCTCAGCACCCCGGCCGTGTGGGTCCCATGGCTGTCACACTTGCTGGCCTGGCGCAGGCACCACGGTTTTACACCCCGGCCCATCGCATCAAAATAAGTTTACGAGCCCACAGCATCCTCCCCACCCCTTGTGCTTTGCAGCAGCTAAATCCCACTGCAGAATAAATCTTTAAAAATATTTTTGGGGATGGGAGGAAGATAAAAAAATCATCCTGTGCAGAAGGAGAAAAGCTGGCAAGAAAGGACAGGGGATGCAGGCAGCCTTCCCCAGGGCTGCGCTAGCAAGCAGCGATAAAAGCCATGCAAGGCAGCACTAGCACCCACCACAGGGCGCAGGCAGCTGTCCCGGACCTGGGCGCGGGGTGACCCTCGACTCCTTGCAACGATACCTTGACACCCACCTATGCCCCCCACAGACAGCTTTCCCCAGAAAGGAGCCCTGCCCCGCTCAGCCACAGCTCCAAATAGAACACGTTGAGGGTCGCAACATCCCCCAGGACCGCAGCTCCTGCTGCTGCATGTCCTGCCCGGCATTTTGCCGCGAGCCAAGCGTCCCTCTTGTCCTGGGAAGCCCCACGAGCCTGGCCAGGGTGCGGTGGGTGCAGGGGGATGCTCTTGCCAGGCTGCGACGTGCGGCACCTCAGGGCTCACCTGCCTGTGGAAGCGGGTGCCATCCTCCTCGGGGATGCTCTCGAAGTCGGTCACGAGCACCCTGCCCTCGATCTCCCGATGGGTGCTCTGCACGCTGGTGTCCAGCAGGTAAATCTCCACCAGGTCACCTTTATCTACCAGGGACGCAGCCGGGGAGAAAGGCAACCAGCGCCGCGGTCAGCCTGGGCCACCTGGGATGCTCCCCAAAAGCAGCTCCAGACCCGCAGCACCATGGGGCAGGGGGATATCCCCATCCCCTCGAGACCAGGAGAAGGGATGGGGTCACTGACCCTTCCCCGAACACCCATGGTCCTCCCCCCACTGCCCAGAGCTTACTGGGAGGGCTGTAGGCGCCCGAGCTGGGCTGTGGCGGCACAATCCTGCCCAAGTTCCAGGGGATGCTCTGGGCAAAGACATAAGAGTCCTCCTCGACGTACTCCACGTGCGGCAGCTTCAGCGCCTGCGGGGACAAGGTGCAGCGCCCGGCGTGGTGGTGGCAAAGCTCCCGTTCCCCGCCGAGGCTGGGGGTGCCACCCGCTCCCCCCGCCCAGTGCCCACCCCAGCTGCTGCCCCGCCACCGCGACTCGCACCCACGGGACCCATCCTCCGCCCCACGTACCGTGTCCAGGACGTCGCTGCTCATCTTCACCAGGAAGGCGGGCAGGAGGTGGAAGACGTGCAGCAGTTCGGTCAGGTATCCCCGCCGAGCAGCCCGGGCCTGCAGCCGCCGCGCCGTGCCTCGCACCTCGGCTTGGTCACGACCTGCCCGCAGCACCACCACGTAGTGCCCGGGCAGCCGCCACGACGCCTGCGGGGACACGAGACCCGGCCTTGGGTTTGGGTTGGGGTTGGGGTTGGGGTTTTGGTTTGGGTTTGGGTTGGGCTGGGGTTGGGGTTGGGGTTTGGGGACACACACGGACAGACACAGGCGCAGTCGGTCGCCCCCACCCCCCCACTCTCCTCACCTTAGCAGCACGCTGGAAGGCAGCGTGCCCCGAGGGGACGGCCCCGAGGGCGGCTGCCTCCTCCTCCTCGGCCTCCCCCAGGGCCAGCATCAGCTCCTCTGCCAGCTCCGCCGCTGCCCGTGCCAGCACCAGCGCCAGCACCAGCACCAGCGCCCGCGGGGCCATGCCCGCCTGGACCCCCGAACGACCCCGACAGGGAGCACGGAGATGCTCAGGGCCTCCGAACCTCCCCCTCCTCTCCTCCTCCTCCTCCTCCTTCCACCAGCACGGCGCAGCCCGGAGCCCGGAGAAGCCGCTGAGGACGAGCGGAGGAGCTGGAGGAGCCGGAGGAGCCAAAGCGGACCCGCAGCTGCGGCTTTGCCCGGTGCGGCGGGGCGGGGATCACGCCACCGCCGCCGGCCCCATCGGCCCACCCGGGTGGGTTAACCATTAACGGGACCGGGAAAGGGCGAGGGGAGGGTGGGTGAGCTCGAAATTCCCCCGCGAGTCCCCGCGCGTGGCTGGGAGGTCTGGCGAGCAAAAGGCAGACGCTCAAGGACTATTTGCGGAATGGGCTAGAAAGCTTTTACGTGTCTCTTCCTGGCTTACTTCAGAGATAAATTGCCATGAAAGCCTCTAATCCTGTTGAGGCATTTTTTACAGAGCCGTCACACGTCGCGAATGTTATTTTTTCGGGGATGCGGTGGGTGCTTTCCCGCGGGTCCCCCCGCTGCTTTCCTTCCGCCGGGCTCCCACGCTGCTCCCACATCCCCAGGGACCTGCGGCAAACCCCTTCCCTCCTCCCTGCTTCTGAGGGAAATAGGGATTTGGTTTTTACAGGCTATTTATAAGCTCCTGGGAGCTCCTATGGTTTATATGGATGTACGGTTTATAACCATGTGTATGTTTTATATGGATTTCTGTATTTTTACTTTTAACGAGACCTCGAGTGGGTGGCTGCGCTCTGCTTTGGGTAACCAGGGGGGGACACACACCGGCCCCCACGGCAAGCTGACATCACCAGGGTCCAGCCTCCGCCAGGCTCCTCATGGGGACAAGTCACCCTCCTAATTTTCAGCTCAGCTTAATCAGGCGCTGCTAAACCCTCCTGCAACACGGAGCTGATGCTTCGGGACACCTTTGGGACAGCCGGGGCACCGGGGGACCCCGTTCTCGAGGGAGCATAGGCTCCCTCTACCCTGCAGAGTCCTTTTCACATGGAGGATGAGCTGTCTACCTAGGGAAGGATGGAGAGAGCCCACAGAGGAGGGGGTGGCGAAGCCTCCAGCCCCCCAACATGTGCCGAGCAACACAGGGAAATCTTGGAGTGAATACCCAACCCCAAAGCCTGTGCAGGGAGTGTGGGAGAGACAAGACAGCCAGCCCCGGAGCTCGCTGGGAGGAGTGGGTATCCGCAGAAAGATTCTGTTTTTCATGAAAAAAAATATTCAGGAATAGCCAAAAACGTGCAGCTCGTAGGGAAGAGATCTGTTTCCTATCCTGGCACACAAGGGAGCTTCTAGCAGCAATTCCTGCTGCTGCTGAGAGCAGCGGTCCCCTCCGGCTGTGTCTGTGTGAAGGGGGGGTCTCCTTTTTAGGGGGGAGGAAGGAGAGAGCAGAGAAGACAACAGAGAAGACCCCAACAAGGGGGGAAAGGCCCCCAAATCCCCTGCTGCCTTCCAGCGCCAGCAGAGCGGCAGAGCTCCGGGGTGCTGCTGGACCGAGGTACCCCCCACCCCGCCTCCCGACCCAGCGACAGGCCTCGGGGCAAAAAAAAGCAGAGCCCCTCCCCACCACACATTTTGGGGGCAGCTGGATACGAGTACAATTTATTCCGAAACCACAGAACCGCAAACGAACTTTATAGTTGCACCAGCCGGGAATCGAACCCGGGTCGCAAGAATGGGAATCTTGCATGATACCACTACACCACTGGTGCGCTGTTCCCGCGCTCCCCCGCGCGCCGCCAAGGGCACGCGGCGCGACACGCCCCCTTTCCCACGCCCACGCCCCGCCCCGCCCCGCCCCGGGGCCCGGGGCTTTGCAGAACTCTTAATTTCATGCAGGAATGTCCCGTTTCTCACAAATGTTTAACTTCAGCCGGCGCGGGGAGAGCTGAACCCTTTGGCTGAGGCAACCTCTGTTCCCCGGGCTCCTCCCGCCTGTGGGCACCCAAATTCCAGCTGCACAAAAGGGCTCCCGGGGGGACACATGGAGGACTCCAGGCCCCATCTCAGCCCTCTCCTCTGTTCCTGCCCAAGGCAAATGCTTTTGAAAATTAAGCTTCTTTGGCCAAAAGTGGTAGCGAGCGCCAGGACGTGAGATGGGCAAAAGCTTTCGGGTGTCTACGAGGCTCCTACGCTCGATACGAGCCGGCGACGTAAAGCGCCGTCCTGCCCTGGGCACCCTCCGGAATCCTGCCCGAAGGGTGTCCCCACAGCCGCCACACTCCCCCCACGCCGGGAAGGACGACGGGCAGGACTCGAGCAAGCGTAAACAGTTGGGTAACGCTTCGTCTTGGCCGGCTGCTCACAATATTTAGCAAACACCTTCGTTCCCCACCCTCCCAACGGCACCGTTGCCCATAAACACCCCGAGCGCGCAGGGTGCTGCCTGCCCTTTTCCCCTTGCTGCTGCGGTGACGCAAAGGGCGCAGTAACGCCTGGAGGGGTGTCATGGGGGCACGAAGCCCCCCCAGGTAGAGCCATTTCTTGCACCACGCAGGACTGCACCAGCAAAGCGTTCCCCGGGCGGCAGGGGAACGTGGGGAGCGTCGTTTCCAGGGCTCCCATGCTCCATCCCCCTCGGGTGCCGGAGGACAGCTTTCCCCCCACATTTGGGCTTGTCAACCCCCCTAAATTTGCTGAAGAGCCGCTCTGCCAGCCGATACGTGCTCCCAAGCCTCCTGGGGCCGTGCCGGGCGCACGCAGCATCCAGCCCAGCTTTCCCAAAACAAGGTGAGGGACTCGGCATCCCCATACGGTTGGATCTGCTGATGTTTTGATCCAAACCCAGCTGCCGCCCTGGGGAGGCTCAGCCACGCAGCTCCCCGCGGCCCCGAGCAGCTGAAGGGCAGGCGGAGGTCGCAGATCCCGCCGTCCCTGCATGTTGCAAACAGGCTGCGGAAAGCCGCTGCGTCGCCCCTGTCGTGGTGACAAACCAGGCTCAGTTCCATCAACGTGACTTGAAACGAGCGCTTATTATTCAGAGGGAGTTTGGGGACGGTGGGCACCGGCACGCAAAGCCGCCCACGGCACTGCGGCTGTTGACGCCGACCCAGTGGAGAGAGAAAATGTTGCCCAAAGCCACCACCTTGAGCGGCCCTGGGGAAGCCACTGCCATCGCCGGGGTTTCAGCTCAGCCGGGTCCTCCTCCCTCTGCCCCCGCCGGCACGGGATGCTGGTCCTCGTGCGGGAATCGGGGGACAGCACGGTCTGTCCCCCGCCGTCACCCCTCTCCCAACCTGGAGACGTGAAGGCTGCCTGCTGCGGGAGTCTCAGGATCTAATTTTAATTCCAGGGGTGGGCTTTGATAAGGGGGAAAAAGGCTTTGCGGATATCCCCACCTCGTAAAGCCTACCCGGTGTGAATACATCTTTACCCGCCTAAACGCTGATCCTGTTTCAAGCAGCAAAGCTAACCTTTTCCCTTCCTAAAGACATCAGGTAGCCTGGATCCTGCCCAGCCCAGCATTCGTGCTTATCTGCGCCCACCCAAAGGGCTCCAGCAAGGGGGACCTCGTCCCCTCTGCTGCGAAAACTGGGGAGGCGGTGGTGGTCCCCTCGGGTTTTGCGGGGTGGCAGCCTCCCGTGCAGCTGGGTGGGCACGAGGGGCGCAGCGTGGCACGGGGGACGGGCAGGAGCCCGGGGGCTCCTCCGTTCTGCCAGCGCTGCACTTTCGGGGGTCAGCCCCAGCCCCTTTCTCCCAGTCTGTGACGTTTGCATTGCCTCCGCGAGACGAGTCCATGCCAAGAGGCCATTCTCTCCGGGAAATCAGTTTTCAGGCTCAAAAAGGTGGTCGCTATCCTCGAGCAGAGCATCCGACCCCTCTTGGAGCCCATAATAAAGGTCACCCTCCTCCCCAGCGCCTTTGCGGGGAGAACCGGGGTGCCGTCCCCCCGCCGGGGAGCTGGTCGGGATACAGCCAGAGCGGGTGGCAGACGGTGGGGGAGATCGGCCCCGTGGCACGGGGCTGCCGGGCACAGAGCCTTCCAGCGACGGCGTGTCCATGTCCTCCAGGAGGGATGCCAGCGGCGCGTCCCCTGCGGCTGGCTGGGGGGGGCTGCGGGAACAGGGAGGGCTGGGGGGCGACGGGCAGCGCAGGGGTTACGCTAAACTGGGATTTTCCCTGCGGCTGGTGGCTGCTGGGCTCGGCGTTGCTCAGCCAGCGTCCCAGCATCCCCAGTTCCCCTTGCTGGGTGGCTGGGGAGCCCCGGGAGGGCCTTATCTCAGCCCCTGGTACCTGCATTTATGGGGACAACTTGCCTGCCCATGTTCCCTCTCCTGCCCGTGGGACGAAGCAGCGGCTGCCCTCGCACGCTGTGCCTGCGTCCCAGGGGATAGCAGGGTGCCCCGTCCCAGCTGTAGCGGCATTTTGGCAGAGGGGGTGCCCAAGTCCTACGCCTCGAGTCTGCACAGTGACCCCCTGTCACCTGCAAAGCACTTTGAGGACCTCCCAAACCAATGCACGGGCATCATACGTGGCATCTGGTTTGAGGGACACATACTGAGCGTCTCATTTCTACCAAAGTCTGACCAGGAACTTGGGATTTATTCTGGTGAGGGACGTTATTTATATTTATAAAATGAAATAAAAGCAAAATGTAAATTGCAACCAAAGGCGATCCAGATTTCCTCCTCTTTTCACCCTGGTAAATAATTTGGTACTGGGAGACCCCATGAGCTGACACACTGTCCAGGCTCCACCAGGGCTGGGTGTCTTGGGGGTCAGTGCTCTCCCTCCTCTCCCACCACCCCCCCCACCGGGGGTCTGACCCCCACCCAGTTTCACCCCGCATCCCACCGGTACCAACCCAACCTCACGGACATCACGTACCAGCTGCCTGCCGCCGTTTCCAGCCGAGGCGCTGGCTCTCGGGGGGAGTCTCCAGCACCCCCCAGCTCCCAGTGGACCTCTGCTCTCGCCTGCACCGCCAACTGGGAGCAGCTGCGGGATCTGGGCTGGGCCGTGGGTGGGAGCGGATCCGAGCCCACCGCCTGCCTCTGGATCTGCTCGTAGGACAGCGGGCTTTTCTCGTAGGTGCTGGTGGCCTCTTGGTTGGGGCAGGGTGCCTGCAAGCTGGGGGTGAAGGAGGAACGGGGTGCTGAGCAGGACCCGGACCCCCACGGAGCCGGGAGATGCTTGGGGACACTCATGCAGGACTCCATCAGGTGCTTTAGAGGTCACATCACTGCCCACACCAGCGGGTCCTTGCAGGAGGGATGCCTGCGGGAACGCAGCTGGATGCTTTGCACCCTCCAGCATCGCTCCGGCTCCGGCCCTGGGGGGGCTCAGCCGGCCCTTGCCTCCCCCACCCCAGCCCCTGCTTGTCATTTTTTGCCGCAATAAGTGGAGTTGTCCCCAGTGCCAGTGTGCTCAGACGCTGCCCTTGTCCCTGGGGGCACGCAGATAACCGTGTGTACAGATGAAAACACCCACCAAAAGGAAAAACGGCCGCTGGGACCTACCGGGTGTCCCTCTCCAGCAGCACGATGGGTTTGTGGTCCAGGAACCGCTTGGCCTCAAGGTCCACAGGGGTGAACATTATCTGGCAGGAAAAGAAACGTAGAGCCTGGGGGGGCTGCGCTGGGCATCGTGGGGACCCTCAGCCCTTGTTAGTGGTAAAATAGCTGGGGTGTTCCTTCAGCTGGGGTTTTGGTCTTTTCTCAGCATGGTTGGATGTCTTGCTTGGAAATGGGTTTTTAGGGGGAAATCAGTAAGGGATTGAATGAACCCAGCACACCCTGCTCTCAGCACCTTGTCCCCAGCGGGGTCATGCGTGTCCCTGAGCCTGGGGGGGGTCCCAGGGCCCACAGGGGAGGTCGGTGGCCAGGGACAACACCGAGGGTGCCCCGTCCTTGAGCCCCCAGCATGGTGACAAAGCCACATCTCCCTCCTCACCAGGGCTGACCTCAGCTTTGGGGGGAGCTGGGGTCAGCCTCACCCCGGTCCCAGGGGACCCGGCTGGTCCTGGGGGTCCCAGCAGCTCCCGGGTCCTGGGGTCCCACACACCACCCCACATTTCAGGGTGCAGCCAAGCTGTTGACGGGCCATCCTGCAGTGCCCAGATCCACGCCACAGCCTCCCTCTCCCTGGAAAAAAGCCTTTTCTGCCAGCTCTGTTTCCCGGGGCAGGGACGCGTGGCCGCCCTGTCGCACCAGCAGTGCCCTCTGCCAAGGAGACTGGGAGGTGAGGGCTGTGCTGGGGGGGGCTGCCAGGCCCCTGCCCACCTCCATGGCCATGACAGCCCCTTCTTTGAAGTCCTGGGAGCCCACCGAGCCCCCAGCCTCTGTGGGTGCAGGGAAGGGGCTGGTTTGGGGAGGGGGGTGCATGGGAGAGACAAACACAAGCTTAATTCCTGGGGCTTATTCCCCGCTGCCTGCTTGACAGGAAAGCCCCAGGCTCGGGGAGGTGCAGGGGGACGAGGGGACGGGGCCGCATCCTGCAGTCATCAGTGGGGAGGTGTAGCAGGGCACGAGCCTCCCAAACCCGTACTTCTCCCTCCGGACCACCCCAGCCAGCTTTGCCCTGCGATCTGCCACTACCCCACTCCACAGATGGGGAAACCGAGGCGCAGCCCAAGGCCACACGTCCACAGCAGCCGAAGCCCCCCAAACCCGGGTGAGCCCCCCGAGGTGCACAGCAGCAGGATGGACCCTACCTTCGGGTAGCACTGGCACATGCTCCAGGTGATGCCCACGGCTACGAGCAGGACACCCAGGGCGCAGAAGGTGATGTAGATCTGGGGCTTTTCCACGCTCATGATGAACATCCCCGTCATCACCAGGAAAAAACCCAGCATGATGAACCCATAACGAAAGGTCTTCTCCTCGGCCATGGGCACCAGGTGGGAGAGGCAGGGGAGGAGAGATGCCGGGAAGCCCTTTTACCTGCGGCTGCTGCCCACTGAGCGCACCTCCAGGGTAAGGCAAGGAGTGGTTTCTTTCTCCGGAGGCTGCCAGAGGCTGAGGATCAGCTGTACGTTGAGCCTGGTCCTGCCCAGGGCTGAGCCAGCCAGTTTTTTAACGGGTTTGTAATGAATGCAAACACCGACCCGCCGTTCACACTCCAGTGAAGCCGCCCGGCACGTGTCCGGGTAACCTTCCCTGCAGGCACGCGTGGCCGGAGCCCACGCCTGGGGAAGGGACGGGGAGGGAGAAGGGGGTACGTCAGCAGAGACGGGGACTTGGCGAGCGGCTTATTCCGACGGGACTTTCCCAGCCCTGGGGGCTGGAGCTGGACTCGGCCACAAATTGGAGCTGGCAGAGCCCCAAATAAGGGGGACGCCAGGACGCAAGGTGTTTTCAAGGGCTGCGGGGCTGCGGCAGGGAAGGAGGGAGCGCTCCAAGGTTTTTTGGAGGCCAGTGGGTTGGGAATAGCCCCCACCTTGCTCCAGCTGGGTGCCAGGGTGCCACCGGTGGGGCTACGTCGGTGGGGCAGCAACCGGGCTGCGAAGGGGGGGCTAAAGCCAGGGAAGGATGGAATGGGGCTGGTCCACCCAGGGGAGTGAGGACAGAGTGTCTGCGTGCCCTGTGTTTGCTTAAGATGGAGCTGGGGTGTTAAAAGGTGTCCTCTTCCCACCACGCATTCGACAGCCAGACAGTAGTGGTGGCTTTAATTAGCCTTCGTTTTGTTCCCTTGCTTGCCTGTCCGTGTGGGAGCACATATACCTGGCTTATGAAAAAGAACCTATTATATTATCAACAACACGTTATATTTGGCTGTGGCTCTGCAGCCCTGCAGGTCCGCAGGGGGCCCAGGGCAGACCGTTATTTCGGTGGGATGGAGCAACCAGCAGCAGCTCCCGATGCAGTTGGCTTTTCCTCCGGGCAAGGCTGCAACCCTGTCCGTGGCAGGCACGGAGGGGGTTGTGCCGCTCGGGGTGTCTTTTTATAGGATGCTGCCTGAAATGCCAAGTGCGCTTGGATGCCCTGAACGCACGCGCAAGCCACCGAACATCTCTCAACCAAATGAAGTGAGGCGTGGGAAGTCAGTACGCGGGGAAAGCAAGGTGGAAGGGATGGAGATACGGCTGGAAGGGGCATTGAAAAGGCAGGGGAGCGAACGGGATGGCACGGAGCTGGTTTTCCTCTGGCCAGATCCCTCGTTCTGTGCTGCAGTTTTTATTATAGAGCTCTTGCTTTCAGTGGGCAGCCCCTGGCCTGATATGAGCTCCCCAGGGTGGGTCAGAGCAGGGAATGCAAAGCATCTGCAACCAGCAGTGGTTTTATTAAAAATACGAAGGCTTTCAAACATGCCAGTTACCCCCGACGCTCCGAACACATCACCCACAGGACCCGCAACCCCGACAGCCCCGGACCGATCGCTCGGAAAGCCGGGTGGACCCTTTCCCCTCCTTGCCCACCCTCCTCTCACCCCAGCAAAGGAAGGGGCTCGGTTTAAAGCTGAGGGACTGGGCAGCCACCCGCAGAGTCCCAGCCCTATGCCGCCGCCAGCTCAGACCCCCCGGACGCTGATGTTTTCGTAGCTGGGAGGAGGCGTTGCCTGCGGCTCCCCAGGGTGCTGGGTCTCCAGCCAGGACGGGCTGGGACGGAACAAGGCGCTGTCGGAGGAGCTGCGCCGGCGGCCACCCTGCCAGCTCTCGTCCTCCTCCAGGTAGCGGTACAGGGGCGGCGTGAGCTCTTCCTTCCTTCCCGGGGGCTGGACGTAGGCTGGGGCACCGTGGGCAGGTCTGCAGGTCAGGGCTTCTTCGTAGGTGGGGATGGCGCTGGCATCCCAAGAGCTGCGAGGGAAAAAGAAGAAACCCAGCAGCGCACCCCGTCAACCGGAGCATCCCAGCACCCAACAACTGGAGCACCCCAGCACTTGTCAACTGGAGCATCCCTGTGCCCCGTCAACCGGAGCCATCCCTGTGCCCCATCAACCGGAGCATCCCAGCACCCATCAACCAGAGCATCCCAACACCCTATCAACCCCATCAGCTGGAGCATCCCTGAGCATGATGGACACGTGTGTGCTGGGGATGGCACATGGGCAGGTTTTGCACGCCCAGGGTCAAGGGAAGACCATGTCAGCCGCTTCCCGGCACCAGGAAAGTGGGGAGCCATGCAGGAGGAAGGTCACCATCCATCAGACCTTGCGACAAGGCAACGTTGCCCAGTTCCCACTGAGTTTATGAATCCCTCACCCAAGAAGAAGAAGGGCAGCCTGGCAAGGCAGCCTCGAAGAACTGCCGCCTCCGGCATTAAGGGCTACAACTGCAGGTGTGAATGACCGCAAAGCAGCAGAGGTGCTGGCTCTCGAGACATCTGCCCCCCATTCTGCCCCACACTGCTTCCCACAGGCAGGAGAGCATCCTCATCATCTGCCTAACCCCAAAGTCATCCCCCGAAGCACAGAGGCTGCCGGCAGCTGAGTAAGCAGTTTGGCACGAGCAGGCGGGCAAGAGTTCAGGCAGGCATCCCGGTTCAATGCGGTCGCACCCCACCCTTGAGCCCTCCATGCACCGGGCAAGCCTGGTGCCACTTCCAGCAGTGCTTTGCTGAGCAAACACAGCTTGTGTACAGCGAAAACCTCCGCCAACCTTTGCCCTGTGCATGGCCCTGCTCGGCACCCTATGAAACGGTGCAGCCCCAAAGATATGGAGGCTTTGAAAGCAACCCGCCGTCCGCTTGCTTTTGCAGATGAAAACCCAGCGCGGTGTGCTTTGGGAGGCTGCGGGCATTGGAGGGGCACAGCTGGTCCAGAGGGAAGGCTGCGATGCTCCGCAGGGATGCCTCCATCCCAAACTTGGCAGTGCCCTGTCCCAGACCTACCGCCCCGGGCATCTGTACCGTGGCTTTTGCCAAACAGCCTCAGCTTGCAAAGGGATGCTGCCTTGGAAATGCGGAGAGAGGGATTTCTCCCAGCGCAGGATGCTTTGCTGAGCGAATGCCAGCACAGCTGGGACTGGAGGAGCTGCCGCAGTGCCAGCAGTGCCAGGGCGCTGCCTTCCCACCCAGCGTGGGAGCTGGGAGTTCAGGGAAGGGGACATTCCCCGTGGGGGGCACACCAAAACTCTCCACGGGAGAAGGAAACCCCCCCAGACTACCCAGACCGGCTCATGATCTCCCCCCAAGATATTCAGATGGGCACTGAAACTCCCAGAGAACCAGGAACTGCCTCCCCCTCCGACTGAATTTTTATGGTTTTATGTTCTTCAGAGTTTCTTTTAGTGCTGCTTTTCCCCAGAGCCCGATTTATGCTGGAGCCAAGATCTTTGCTGTGACCCCATAAAACAGCACTGGGAAGGGCCGGCTGGCTCAGCTTCTACAGCAGTCTCTAGAAAAAAATCCCTTTTGATCAAAAAATTTTTAAATCCAGAAGTGGGAATGAATCTCAGGCTCTCACAGGAAGAGTCTGGGGACCTGACAAGCAGCAGTGGTGTTTGGGGCAGGGTGAGGGGTCTTTCCACACCCCAAAATGGGCTTTGTAGAAGGACCCTCTGCCTACACTCCCATCTTAATGCCAATCCAAGGATTATTTTCCTTCTTTTTTTCTCTAATTCCCTTTTAACATAGATTTTGTTTCCATTCAAGATGGCATAAACCCCCTCGTCCTCACAGAGCACTGCAGACCTGTGGCAGCGGGAAAGTTTTCAAGAGCTGGAGGTCTGGATAAGCCCCCCCCCCCCCAAATCCAGGCACTCTGCCAGAAAACCAACGCGGTCTTCTGCTCGGTGGTTCTGCTAAGGAGATGACTGCCTCGGCCAGTGATGGCCCCGCAGGGCAAGGAGAGCCGTCTGCGGCTGAGCCGGCCACGGGAGCAGCCAGCGTGGGCACGGAGGGTGCCTGCAGGGGGGGCAGATTGCGGGGGCTTGGGTGAAGGTTGACACTAATGAGCAAGAGCATCTGCTCAGGGAGCAGGAGGAGAGCACGGAACGGGGTCTGAGCAGCGGCCGGCGGCGTTACTGCTCATCTGAGCTCGCCAGCGAGCAAGCCTGAGAGCAGGCTTAGGTACACGGCCGTGCCGGGACAGTCAAACCCACCCTCGACTTCTTCCCACCCAAGCACCGCGGGGGGACGTGGCACCCACCTGCAGTTCCACTTCTCCAGAGGCTCCGCGGTGAAGTACTGCAGGTCCCTGGGGAAATGGTACTGGTAGCGGCGGGACACCACCCTGGCGTTGGCTTTCACGGACCAGAGGAGGCCGAAGAGGAGGAGGATGCCGCCGATGCCGCAGCAGAAGAAGCTGACGGAGCGGAGCAGGGCGCTGGAAGAGGAGGAGCTGGGAACCGCCTCGGCTTCCCGGGGAGGCAGGAGGCGAGCCCCGCTGCCAGCCGGGGAGCCCACCTCCCCGTCGCTCCACCAGGCAAAGCACAGCGTCCCCGTCACCAGCAGCACAGCCCCGGTGATGGTCATGCCGTAGCGGAAAGAGGCAGCTGCCATCCTTCGGAAGGAGGGCTTATGAGGGGAGAAGAGCGAGACAAGGCATGAGAGAGCCCCCGTCCTGCAAGACAAGAAAGGGACGGGGTTTGAGAGGGACAAGGTCACGGAAGAAGACGTGCCAGGGGAGAAAATGACTGAGCTAGGACCTCTCTGGGGGTTGCACGCTCTTCAGCCGCTTATTATTGACCGTCAGAAAGGGCATTTCCACCATCCCAGATGGGAAGCCCTCGGGCAGAGCAAAGTCAGCCGCCAGTTTGGACCCACAAACTTCCCAACAGCCTCGTAAAAAGATCCTCATTTTCAAGAAACAATGCAGCGCTCCCATGGAGGCAGGATGGAAAGCCCAGCCAGGGGAGCCACGGAGGCGGCTCCGGGGACTCGCATAGCTCTTGTCTTTGGATTTTATTCCAGACTTCCTCCCAAGCTCGGAGGAACGCCAGCTGGGTTTCTGATCAAAGCAAGGCTTATGGAAGAGGTTAGGGAGAGGAACATGAATTTAAGATGTCATCACTTCCAAATTATCAGTGCATATATTTTGTCCTCTGAAACTGGAGGTAAATCAGTCCGGTGGTGACGGTAGCTGCCTGGCATCACTGCTCAAAAGCCCGCAGCCCAGGAGATTCAGGGCCGCGCTGCCTCTTGCTTTCTCAGGGAAAAGAGCCAAGTACCATCTCTGAAAGTCACAGAGCTGCTATTTCAGGGGAGAATAAGAAACCTCAGATGCTGGCAGCCCAGGGGACATCACCTAGGGATGGCTCCTGAGACACCGAGTGAGCGGGGACCCCAGTGAGCTCTCCCGTCACTGCTGGAGCCCACAATAGCTGCACTCCTTGCCACGACCAAGCTCGGGGCAAGGATGGGAGCAGAAAGCCATCCGTATCTCCGTTAAAAATCAGGAATGTGCTGGATGCAAGCTAAACCCTCGGAGAGGGTATGGCCTACAGCTGAAGTAGGTGTTTCAGCTATGCTGGTCAGGGAAACTGAGGCAACTGACCACTGAGATCTGTGAGGCTCTTACTGACCCAGCTACAGTGTCCCATTTTGAGATGTTCCAGAAGTGGAGAGGGGCTTCAGTTTATGTTGGAAGTGGGATAAATACCCTGACGCTGGAAGGGTCTGCTCAATCTCTATCCAGATGAGCTCCGGCACACAAAATCTTGCTCCCCTGGGTCAGCTCCGGCACACACCTTCTCAGCTCCCCGGCAAGATCGATCCCACAGGTGTTACCACCACCTTCACCGTCCCTGTCAGGGTGGTTTTGGGGTTGGTTTGACCACCAAAGAGGTGAGGCAGTGCCTCATGTTCCTGCTGGGTGGCACTTCTCAGCTAAACGTCACACACTGAGAGCAACCATCCTTCCCCAGCGCAGGAAAATTTGGGGAGGGGGAGCCAGTTTCTGATCTCTAAGGCTCTCGCTCCCCCCTTGTTTTCTCCAGCAAACCACAAGCATCTGCTCTCTGGGCTTGGGGATCCCCAGCCCCCAACTAACCAAAAAGCACCAGCACACGGGGAGGCAGAGAGGTCCCACCACATCCCCTCTGGCCTCGCTCGCTGCCCAGCAAGAAGATGCAGGCTCAGCTCCCACTTCTCGATGGACAAAAAGCTTTGGACCGCGTGGGAATTAAGGACCAGCACCCCTTTACGTATTCAGACTTGGGAGACCCCTCTGCGAGGGCTTCCCGTGGTGGCAGTGCCGGTGGAGAGCCTGCACGCCGAGGGACTGCCAGGACGGAGATGGGGCTCAACCACAGAGGTGGATGGAGAGCTGGGTGACCCACGCTCAGCCCCCACCTCTGCCTTCATCACTTTGCCTGTATGTCAGTAAAATGAAGATAATCTGGTGGCTTTGGTCTCCATTCCTCCAGGCAGGGCTCTTGTCCTACAGTGGGGATTTAAATTGTACCCTGAGATCTGGAAGTGCCAAGCCAGAGCTAAGGAGGGAGCAGAAGTCCAGCACAGACTCGGTGTGATCAAGGGCAGGTGGAATTATGTTATTTCGAGCCATTATTTATCAGATGGGCCCACTAAATGGAAAGCCAAATTACTTCGTAGCGAAAGAAACGCCATCTGATCTAATCTACATTTAATGAAGAAATCCAATGAGAAGTGGGATATAGGGAATCTGCAGGAAGGCTGCAGGACTGGGAGCCCTGACAACACGCTCCAGCTCTCATCCCACGGTCACGAGCCCAAATTGCCACCCAGGCTGGTGTTGGCCAGTGCTGGTCCCCACCAGCAGCTGCAGTCATCCACTGGGAAGGAGTTGGTGTTTCTGGGCTGAGAGGAGGCAGAGCTTCCCCCCATAATGAGGGGACGTGTTTAGACGTTCCCTCCTGAATGGCAGGGGCTTGGCTGAGCTGAGAGGGAGAAAGGACCGTTAGAGACTGGTTAGAGATGCTATTAGATGATATTAGGGATCGGCGAACTCCAACTCGCCACTGAACGTGAGCAGGACGCAGCCGACAAGCTGGGCTCAGGCTGCCTTGCAGCAGTAGATGCTCAGGAGAACGCAAGGACCCTACTGACCCGTGAATCCAGCTCCTTTTGAGAGCATCGCATTTTCCTGGAAAATTTTCAGCCAATATCATTTGGGAAAAAACCTACAACCCAAAAACCCCTACAGCAAAGCCCTCAATCCAACTGCGTGGAAATGACAGATCGCTCCAAACTGAAAGCCTGGATTGAAACAGCACCAAGAGTTGAAATGCTCAGCCTCTGCAGTCAACGCTCTCCTCATTTTGGGGGTCAGCCTGATGAGGTTTAGGAGATGCTCTGATTCCCCTGCCTGGGCACAGGGAATTTTGCAGCCCCCGGCACTGCGCACATCTGGGAGCAGTGGCAGCGAGGTGGGGGCGGACGTGGAGGGAAGGCGGAGAGCCTCCGGGGGGTGACGGATTGACAGCTCGAGAGAATAAACTCTTCTCTCTTAACAAAACCAGCGCAGCACTGAAACGCTAAAAGCTCCTCCAGCCTACCCGGCACGTGCTCCTGCAGCGCGTGTGCGGGGGCAGCTCCTCTGCGCTGGGTGACATTGCCATCACACCGTCCCCTTGCCAAAACCCCTCTCGGGCTGGCACAAGCTCTCTTGAGCCTCTTTAAAAGACCCACGATGTTTTTCTCAGTGCACCAACCACTGGAAGAAGAGGCTGAAGGAGCAGGGGCAGGAAGAGAGGTGTGAGGCCGGGGGCAGGACCCGAATCCCTGCTCCCCAAGCCTGCCCGTGGCTCCGCTCCTGGAGCACTCAGCATCCTGCCCATCAGGTCTCCCGGTGAGCATTTCCAGCACGGGTTTCCTCGGAGGGGCTGCCCCTCCGGAGATGGCAATTGCTGGCTCCCAAACGCCCGCCTCCACCCGCCGAGCCACCCTGACATCTTGTTCTGCCCCGTCTCCTCCTCTGACCTGCTCCGAAATAGCCTTTCCAGGGGAACAGATTTGCACATTGCATGTACAAACAGATACGAATGTTAATAGTTTACATAGTTCCATTAAGATGCTGAGAATAGCATCCCCCATATAAAGTTATGCAGATGGTGATTCATAGGGTCTACTAAGCATTACTCAGAAAAACACTCTTTTCCAGCGACACAAGAAGCGAAAAGAGTTTTGAATCTCTCCCACCGCCATCAAGCAGAAATCCACCTCCGCACCCCGCGTCCCTCCATGGCGCTCGCAGCCCGTCCTTCCACCGCGCGGGCCGGAGACCTTTAACCACGCGCAGCCGTGCCAAGAGGAACGCCGGGGAGAGACGCGCCGAAGCGCGAGCGTGTCATCCGGGAGATTCCTTCCTGCCTTGAACTGAATTTGCTCTTCGTAGTATTAGCAGGAGTAGCGAGGGCTTCGGTACCCGTCCGACCCCTAGTAATAGGGATGCTTTCGAAAGCGCGCCCCAGAAGCCCTGGTGTCACCACCCTCCCAAACGCAGGTTCACATGGCGGGGAGCCCGCGGAGAGCGAAGCGCCTATACCCCCCCAGCCTCCCCCGTGCCCCCAGCAACTCCAGCCCCGACGGCGATGCCTAAACCCGACGTCCCCCCCTAAAGAAGTGCCTG